GAGGCAGTACTGTTTGATATAATATTTTGTTTCATTGTAATGTATGTACATTCCCTGAACTACATTTCTGCGGCTATTAATATGTTTAAATGAAATCGAAAACAGGCAGTGGTGTTTGATATCATATTTCATCTTATTGTAAATAAAGAGTGGAAAATTGCAGTAGCCAAGGCGAGCTGACTGATGTTATCAAATACGCTGCTGTTTGCAGAATTACCGGACTTGCGTTGTCCCATCCACGGGAGTTCACACTCCCGAGTCAAACTCGCGAAGTCCGAACAACCGAGGATGCAAATCAGAAATTTGCGTCCTTGGTATTGAGAAACGCGCGCAGACCTATGTCACCAGACTATTTGCCTAATCTTCTCGGTACTTTAGACCGCGATGGAAACGCAGACAGCAACAGGTCTGGGGAAAAAAGTTCCTGGGAAAAAAAGTTCCTGGGGCTAATTGTTCCAGGTAATTTTGCTGGAAAAGCGGCTTAAGTCAGGAGATGTTTTTATATCAGGCTACCAGCTAACATCAATATTTAAGATACTTAAAAAATTTTCAGTTCAAAACTCCCTTTCAGACATCCAATTGTGATCTGATGTGGATTCTGATCATCTGATTACTGAAATGTATTATTTATAGATTTATATACAATTGTAAAGGCTACTTATGCTATCCTTTGCTATAATAAATTAATGTTTATGAAAATACCAGAGATCACTTGAAGAACTTAAATCATTGTTATCATAATCATGTATTTATTTGGTTTCACCTTTCTTCTCTTCGTGTCTTCCCTGTACTTTTGTTGATACAGGACTTATCTACATATGTCATAATTTGTATATAGTCCGGTAGATGTTGTCTACTCAAGTCTTCAATCTCACCATAGAAAGACGCTCTTCTAGTAGACAACACCTCCTTCGTTCCCTTATAGTATTCCACTGAACATCAGAAAGCAATGGCAGGTAAGGAATGCTGAGCAGTGTTTTAATGTCTGCTGTATCAGCTCAGAAATTCTGAGATTCACATTGTAGGATATCAGTGTGAATCAGACAGTTATAACGTGATCAGAACTTTGCTAAAACTGACCAAGCAGCAAGAATTCCAGAGTATGCCCCCAAGATAAAATGGATGACCATAAATCTGTCCAGGAGCCAAGTGCCAACAAGTCTGGAGCAACCTAACCAACCAACATTTTACAGCTTAAACAAAGAATCCTAAGGAAGAAGATTCCTGCTGCCAGTGTGAATGCAACAAGGAAAACAGCCCAAGGGGGAAATTGCTTCTCTAGGAACCACCCTGCTGGCTAGTTCCTAGAACTGAGTTCTTAGAACTACGCGGTGCGAAAGCCCCTATAGCAACACCCCGAGCTAAGACCAGAGATGGCAAAAGTACACATATCCTTCACTCAAGTAGAAGTACAGATACTCATGTTTAAAAATACTCTGGTAAAAGTTGATGTACTGACTACACTTTTTTACTCAAGTTAAAGTATAGAAGTATCGGCTCTGACATGTACAAGTAAAAAATAGCCATTACTACTACCTGTTTTAGTGTCACACTGGTAACGGGATCTCACGTCATATAAATATCGTAATACAAAAAAACTTACATTTCAAATTTTGTTAGCTAATGAATGTATCCAGGCTGAACAACCGACATGTAGAACAGGGCCGAACAGAGTTTATATGTTTTAGATTAGTCCAATAAAGTCTTGTTCATATTGAAATGAGAAGTGTGTTTTGTGCTTACAAGTTAATGTCTTAAACTGCTGATCTTGTTACCGTGCCAATAAATAGTGTTTTTCACTATACTTTTGATTTTAAAATCAGTTGCTGATAGTTACGGCCATTCAATTAATCACTGGCCTATTCAAGTTGATCAGCCGTAAAAGTGATTCTGTTAAATTCCCTATAAATATCATAATTAATTCCCTTTGAGCTAAATTTACCTGTTTCCTTTATAATATGCTCCTTGCAAAATGTGCGATAGAGCCACTTCCTTTCGAAAATTGTCAGAGCAGCTTCTACAGCCGATATTTCCGAGCAGAATGTGCATTTTTGAACACCTCAGCTGTTTAGAGCTCACAGTCAATATGCAGAGGGTCATTCTTAAAGGGTTAGTTCAGCCAAAAATAAAAATTAGGCTGTTTTACTCACCCCCGATGCATCCTAGGTGTATATGACTTTCTTCTTTCAGACGAATCCAGTCGGAGTTATATTAAAAATTGTCTTTGATCTTTCAAGCTCTATCGTTGTACTCAGCGGGTGTTGCATTCCTTCAGTCCAAAAGACGTGAAATAAAAAGCACCCTTCCACAAAAAAAAGTGTCTCACACGGCTCCGGGGGGTGAACAAAGGCTTCCTGTAGCGAATCGATGCGTTCTTGTAAGAAAAATATCCATATCCAAAACGTAATAATCACTTGAATCTAGCTTGCACTCACTGTTGTACACAGAAGCAGCTCCGGGCGACTGGATTCGTCTGAAAGAAGAAAGTCATATACACCTAGGATGCATCGGGGGTGAGTAAAACACAGCCTAATTTTTATTTTTGGGTGAACTAACTCTTTAAGGCCACTAAGAGTATCTAATTTTTAAGGAATAGAGCTAAACTCAGTCTCAATGCGAGCTCACCTCTCACTTGAGTGCCTCAGACTTCCTTCGCTTTGTTCAAGTCAGAGAAGTTTCAGAGAACATTTGGGTTGTTGGCAGCAGCCTCGACAGTATGCTGTCTTGGTCCGCTTCATATGCGGACACTTCAGGTTTTGGTTAAAAGCCTGCATCCGCTTGTGGAAAGTTGGAGATAGGAGATATGCAAGTATTGCTCTGAGTTTATTTATAAAGTTTATTAAAAAAACTTTGGTAACACTTTATTTTAAGGTGTCCTTGTTACACATGTTACATGTACTTAATATTATAATAACAATTAATTATGAATAATTACATGCAAGTAACCCTAAGCCAAACCCAAATCCTAACCCTAACCATATAGTAAGTACATGTAGTAAATTAATATTACTCAGTTTTCATATGTATAATTACACTGTAACAAGGACACCTTAAAAAAAGTTTTTAGAAAGTTTTTTTTTTTTTCCCTTGAAGGAGCAAACTGAAAGGCCTCACACACTCATCCTCTTTGTCCTGTGCACACTTTGCGCATCTACACGAAGATTTCAAGCCAATTTAGGCTATCCAATCAGCTCTTTTAAAGTTGTCAAGCCACTGACATTCATTCTTAAAACTACCTAGCCTGGTTGATGGCTTCACTTACAGATGAGCTGGACATTGCTAATAACACAACGTGATCCCATTACATCAGCTACCGACACAATGTTGAGTGAGCTGAAATCGAAAGGAAACACTGCCGGTTACTGAACGCAAGCTTGGTTACACTGCATAACCAGAGATGTTTTCTGTCCGTAAGCTCTATTTCTTTGGCTGAAAGGATAACAGTACAGTGAGACGGGAGAGAGCTCAAACCTCCTAAAGACCTTGTCTCCTAGACGGCCACCGGGACAAGACCACAGGAACCAGTTGAGTCCTCTGCACAATGTGACATTGCTGCAGCCTGGAATTGAACTGTTGGTTTCGTCTGGTCAGAGGAGAACTGGCCCCCCGACTGAGCCTGGTTTCTCCCAAGGTTTTTTCTTCATTCTGTCACCGATGGAGTTTTGGTTCCTTGTCGCTGTCGCCTCTGGCTTGCTTAGTTGGGGACACTTAATATCCAGCGATATCGTCGACTTGATTGCACAGATACTAATTAAACTGAACTGAGCTGGATGATGACATTACTGAATTCAATTTGAAATTTCAACATTCAACTGAAAATTGAGTGTTTACCATTGTAATTTTGCATTAATGACACTTATTTTCCTAATTAATGCTGTACAGTTGCTTTGACACAATCTGTATTGTTAAAAGCGCTATATAAATAAAGGTGACTTGACTTGACTCCTCAGATTGCATAATTTCATGGAAAGTTAAAAGAAATGCTAATTTTTTCTAAAGAAAGCCCCAAGTTGTTTGCATTGCTGTGCATTCCTGAGATTACAAAAAAAACGGAAGCAGGCACGACTCAATAAGTATGTGTGTTCTCTTTTTATGTGAAATAATGATAAATACCAGCTTGACTGATGTGCACTACAGACACAAATTAATAATTTACTGTCACTGTAACATTTTTATTGCTAAACTATTGGTCAAATATCGATGATGGAGGCTTAAGTCTGCATGTAAACTGCAAACGCCCACTTCTGTTATGTTTGTTTTGTGATCTAGCTAGGTTATGGTCAGCTGTTGTTGACTGATGTTGTTCGATGGAAGGGCTTTAAGGGCTTTTTTTTTTTTTTTTTAGAGTAGCACAGCTTGGCAGTCATGGTCTAATGGTTAGAGAGTTGGACTTGTAACGCAAAGGTTGCGGGTTTGAGTCTCAGGTCCAGCAGGAATTGTCGTTGGGAGCAGTGAACCAGAACTCTCTTCTAGCCTCAATACCACGACTGAGGTGAGACCCTTGAGAAAGGCACCAAACCCCCAACTGCTCCCTGGGTGCCGCAGCAATATGGCTGCTGCTCTCTGTGTTCACGGTGTGTGTGTGTTCACTACTGTGTGTGTGCACTTGGATGGGTTAAATGCAGAGCACAAATTCCGAGTATGGGTCACCCATACTTGGCCACACGTCACATCACATTCACATTGATTTAGGCTTTGAGGTCCGAGGCCCCACACAGCTTGTTAGCCTTGGCTTGCACTGGCCTGACAGTGGAAAAGCAGGAAATGATGAAAGAATTTTCAGTTTTGGGTGGAGTATCTTTTAAGGTTCATCTACTTTTAGATGAGATGTCAAAATATTGTTTGTCTATCCATAAACGTTTATGGATTTTAGTTTGCAACAAACAAACAAACATTTTATGCAACATTAGTTTACAATTTTTATGACATTAGTTTTAAAATGAACATAGCCCTACTGCATCTTGCTGTTTGAAAAACTGGAAGATGCATTAAAAGGATATTAATGTCGTCATTTGTCTCCATCACACCATATTTCAAGCAGGCTTCAATAAAGAGTGCAGCACGGTCGAAATATCTCATGCTGTCAAGAAATGTAAAAATATATCAGAGACATATCTGAGCATCATGCCCTTTAACATGCACATTCAAATGTCAAACTGGTGGATGCTGCACTTTTTAACAGGATGCCTAGGATGTGTAATTTTTCTCCAAGATGATACATAAAACACAGCGCCTTTCACAAAGAGTTTAATGGCATTCAGGCATGACACATTGATATTCTCAATTAAAAATGTATTATGCAATTTTAAAATAATTCTTCAACCAAAAATGAAAATGATCATTTAACCTCAGGTCAACCCATATGACTTTCTTTCTTCCATAAAACACACAAAGGAAAAGTTCTCAAGAAATGCCAAGCTGCTCTTTTTCGATAATGAAAGCATACTGTGATCAGGGACTAGAAAAGAAAAAAAGTACTATAAGGTATACAATAAGTATCTTCCTAAACTTCTGAAGATAATACTGTATCTTTGTGTGATGAACAGAACTTAAACAGATTAAGTTCATGAGGAACTTTGTATCATACACTGACAATCTTTCTCTCTTCTGTAGGTCTCAAATCTCCATCTTTTTTTCATTTAAAAAAAAACTTGCCATATGCTGTGTCAGGTTTAATGTAAACACACAGACATTCTGCAAAACATTTCCTTTTGTATTCTAAGAAAAAAAAACATATGGTTTTGAAACAACAAGAGGATGAGTAAATGATGACATAATTTTGTTTGTTTTTTTATTATATTATGTTATTTTACGCTTAATTCCTAAAACAGATTTATTCCTAAAACACATTTTAATGGATGAATGGGCAACATAATACTCTGAATGGGCTAAATGACAAATCAAAAAGAAAAGAAATGCATACCTGTGAAGCATCTCGCCCACTTTGTGAAAGCATCCTAATGAGAGCAGGACCAGGATGGCCTTTGATTTCTGATTTACCTGAGGAGAACACAAATGCTCTGCCCAGCGCTTCAGCACATCTGAACTTTCTGCTGGGTTCAGACGCACCTGAGAAAGAGAGACATTAAGATAAACATTAAGATAGATATTATATAAGATTCCAGAGCATTACAATAGACTAGGCATAGGCCGGTATGAGATTTTGATGGTATGATAACCTTAAGCAAAAATATCACGGTTTAACGGTATCACGGTATTGTTGTTACAGCTCTAATTTTAAATGCCTGGGTAAAAAAAAACAAAACTGAACAATATATTTTGAGCAACATACAGAATATTTGGAACAGTAGTATTTGTTTATTTTTTCTTTGATTTGTTTCTGAAATGTGGGCTGTCCTGCAGCTTTTGATGTGGATGGTTGATTTGCTGCTAGAGCTACTGCTGCCCTAAAAAGAAGAAAAATAAAGACTGACATCTTTATTTAACCTAAATCTGTAATTACAGTTATTTAATTTTAGTTACCTATATAATTCATATACATATCATTTATATAATTTCATATCATTTTAGTTATATAATTTCATATACATAATTTGATTTAATAATAACCCAATTTGAAGCAAAAACAGAATGTTCTGACTAGCTTTGTAAAATTATACTACATGCCTGAACGAATCCAAACAGCAGAAGCTCTGAATGAGACGCAGATTTACTCTCTGACAGCGGGAGGCGCTGATACAGCGTTTCCTTGGTTATCGCAGTAAACAAAGCAGAGCTGCGCTGAAAACACTGCTTTAATGTGAATTATAGAGACGAGATTAAAAATACCATCTAAACGTTTCTGAAGACAGTCAGTTCCCCTCAGAAACACATTGTTAGAAAACACTCTCTGTCTTGAGAATGCCTCACCCCTCCTTTTTTTCCCCTCTCTCTTATTCCCCCTCCTTTCTTTCCCTCTCCCTCTCACTCTCCCTGGAGGGGGGGGGGGCGTGTTACTCTCAACACTGCACTCAGTCTGATGGATTCCTACACTTTCAGTCTTTGAGGAGACATGAGACAGGAACGGTATAATGGAAAATGTTAGTGGTTTTGAAACCGTGACATTTTCAAACCGCGGTATACCTTGATACCGGTAATCGGCCCATGCCTACAATAGACATTAAGATATATAAGATCCCAGAGCATTAATTTTCCTCACTATTTACACAGATTATTTGCTGCATATTGATCACATCAAACTGCAGTCTAATTGGCTGGCTGCTTCAATCTAACTGGATGACGTCCACATAATTTTTCAGTGTCAGGTGGAAGGTTTTCTATTAGTCCATCAGGAAACAAAAGATGTATTTATAAGATAGCATGAGGATATTATGGGTGCTACCGAGGAATAACTAGTTTATATGAATAACAAAGCAGGCACGACTGAATAAGTATGCGTGTTCTCTTTTCACATGAAATAATGATAAATACCAGCTTGACTGATATGCACTACAGACACAAATTAATAAATTACTGTCACTGTAACAATTTTATTGCTAAATCGTTGGGGTCAAATATCGATGATGGAGGCTTAAGTCTGCATGTAAAGTGCAAACGCCCACTTCTTATGTTTGTTTTGTTCCCTTTCGATACTACACTCGTACTGTGTCTGCTAGACCCATATGGGAAAAAAGCCTTTTTCTCCTGAACTGAAGCCTTTTTCATTCACGCAGTGAAACTGCACAGCCAGTGGTTCGTGCAGTGTATTAAAAAAAAAACGAACCAACGGTTAGGCAGCGGAGCTGCACGAGCCTATGGCGACGAAGCCCGCCAAGCCTGCCAAAGCCCGCCAGAATGCGCGGGGCGTCTGGCTATATAAGCGGGCGTTCGCCACAGGATTCTCAGATTTCTTCTCCTTCAGCGACGACTCTACGCTCATCGCTAATCATGAAAGCCTGCTCGCCGTTGACACGCCTTTGCAGCTGGAATCGGGACCTCTCAGCACAGCTGACCTGCTTCTCCGCCGCTACATCGACGCAGTAGTTCCGGTCCGTTTCCCCTGCCGCCATCCGGCGATTCTGAAAGAGCGCGTGCTCGCTCTCCCCGTTGCACTTGGATCCGCCGCAGAAGTGCAGTGAGCTACGCACTTACTGAGACAAAATGCTCACTCGAGCATGAGTCTCGCTCTTCTTTGTGTGTGTGTCACTATGGCTGCGCTCACAGACACGGCTGCTTTTACCACAAAAGCAGTCTGCCCCCGTTCGTTCGCGGAAGGTGGCACCCTCCTCCCTGCGCTCATGCTTCTCTCCTCCCAGCTACCTCGGAGGAAGCAACGACGAGCTCACGGGTTGAACGATCAGACTTGAGCAATCCTCTACACACATCATGCGTGCTTAATCTGCCAGTGTGTGTTACACATGAGGATCGGTGCACCTCGTTAAGTCCTCTTCTAATGAGCGGTTTGATCTTTTTTAGGCGGATTAAAAGAGAATGCTGTCACTAATGATTATTATCACTGACAGCTTCAAATTGGACGTGTCTGGGCCACGCCCACGCTGAGGCAGCGCGCACGGGGGCTGACTGCTCTGCTATGAGAGCATTAAGTCTGACGAAGCCTTTTCTGAAAGCATTTTCAGGGAAAAGCAAATTTCCTCTTCTGAGTGTGGGGTCCCCATACGGCGACCAGCCTCTCAATTTAATTCAACCCCTTGTCACATGGGCTGAGGCCTGACAGGCCATCCCTGTAGTGCCAAACTGGGAGTTGGAGACAATAAAACGATGTTATTCACTGCAATTCGCTCGAATACCCCGCGATTCAACTGCGTGGTTCCCACCTCAGTTTAGAGCAAAGATGCACACGTCCTGCGCTCAGAGGTGATGAATTTGCTGGCGATATGAGCCGTAGAAATGGTTCACCCGGCTCAGAGTGAGTCAGGCTTCTAATGGGTACCACTCGCCCTCTCAAAGCGTTTCAGAGGATGCTGGGCCTCATGCCGGCAGCATCGCCAACGCTACAGTTGGGTCTGCCTTGTATATGCCTCCTTCAGCGCTGGTTGAAACCACGGGTTCCATCCCATGCGTGGCGTCACGAACGCCTGCAGATCAGGGTGCGTCAGACCTGTGTAACAGCCCTGGCCCCCGGGAAAAAAATTCCCGCTAGATGGAACAGGGCATGGCCATAGGAATGGTTTGCAGAAACGCCTCGTCCCCCTACCGTCCTTTCATGGGATCTGCCAACTGTGCTGAGGGCCCTGAAGGGCCCCGCTTTCGAGCCGCTACAGGACAGAGAGCTATCTCTGCTCTGCCCCGTCAGGGCGTTGATAATCTATATTGAGCGTTCCGCCCCCTATAGTCGGCCAGAACAACTCTTTGTCAGCTTCGGTAACCACACCAAGGGGCTTCCGGTCACGAAGCAAAGACTCTCTAGATGGATAGTATCCATCTCACTAGCGTACTCTTCCTTGGGCCTCCAATGCCCCATTGGAGTATGGGCCCACTCGACTAGAGGCATCGCCTCGTCTTGGGCATGGTCCAGTGGTGTGTCCATTGCGGACATTTGTGAGGCGGCCGGCTGGGCCTCACCGTCCACATTTGCAGGGTCCTTTCCGCTTGAAGTGACATGCGCTGCGTAAACAAATCTGGCAGAGAGCCCTTGGCCATATCACGCTCAAGTTCTCTGACATTGTTTCACCTGTTAGCTCTCGACCCCTGGGTGTCTAAGTTACGGGCATTGGTTGCTTATGGAAGTTTTATACTTTTAGTCGTTCCACTACATTAGCACGGAGTGATTGTACTGTGTTCCCATATGCGTCTAGCATACGCAGTACGAGTTTAGTATCGAAAGGGAACGTACTCGGTTACTAACATAACCTCGGTTCCCTGAGATACGGGAAAACAGATGTTTTCGGGAAAACAGATGTTTTTTAATACACTGCACGAACCACTGGCCGTGCAGTTTCACTGCGTGAATGAAAAAGGCTTCAGTTCAGGAGAAAAAGGCTTTTTTCCCATATGCGTCTAGCAGACGCAGTACTCGTTCCCGTATCTCTCACAAAGTCTGTGCACACTTTGCCACTTGCCGTGTCTTTTACTGTGACGTCCTCAATTTCAGATTTATCTGTCCATGGCACATAAAATAAAACTGTTGTTTGTTGTCTTAGTGGGCAGTTTTTGGCCAAAACAAGCTGCAAAGAGAAAGTCTGGTTTATAGCTCTCTCTATATACAGGTGCATCTCAATAAATTAGAATGTCGTAGAAAAGTTCATTTCAGTAATTCAACTCAAATTGTGAAACTCGTGTATTAAATAAATTCAATGCACACAGACTGAAGTAGTTTAAGTCTTTGGTTCTTTTAATTGTGATGATTTTGGCTCACATTTAACAAAAACCCACCAATTCACTATCTCAACAAATTAGAATACTTCATAAGACCAACAAAAAAAAACATTTTTAGTGAATTGTTAGCTACTTCAGTCTGTGTGCACTGAATTTATTTAATACATGATTTTCACAATTTGAGTTGAATTACTGAAATAAATGAACTTTTCCACGACATTCTAATTTATTGAGATGCACCTGTAAGTAGATTTGTGGAAATGCATTGAACCATTTCTAGCACAATTTTTGCTACTAACTTTTAAATCAGAACTATATACATATATTAAATCTGCGATATTCATAGTGTCAATCAGTTTTATATTGCTAGCAAAGTAATTGTGAATATATCATGAAGAATTGATTTATCAATGGCTCAAGATTGTGTTTGCTCAAAGTACCTTTGCCAGCCAGGCAGCACGGTTCCACTCTCCATACGTCTGCAGATAACGACAAGCATCCGCTGCTTTGTCGATCAGGCAGAGCAACTGCACACCCTCTAAGAGACAGAGATGCAGAGAGAAAGAGTGAGTAGACAACAACAACAAAAAAAACGTTGAAAGTATTAATTTGGAATATGACTGATGTGCTCCTTTTATCTGCATGTGACCTAGATGCGCTGTATAACATTTCTCTGATGACAGAGTGAATCTATCTAGTACTATATGAACTGATAAGCGCATACATGGCAACGGCAGTTGCACCAGCCATTAAAGCAAACCCTAAATAGTTGCATAGGAACAAACAGTCTGTTTCACATTTTAAGTAATTCAGGTTGGTATAATTTAGACATGATCCCAACATAAAACAGATACTATGCCCAGCATAGATGGTGGTCATCCAGGCTAACACATTATACCACAGTCATAGTTAAGACAGCATTCACGTGGTTTCAAACTTAAATGGTTACAAACTTAAATTTACTAATAATAAAGAAATGAATTTCTCACAACATCATAAGTGAAGCAACTGCGCCATCTGATTTTAATGAGTAAACTTTGCCTAATGAGTCAGTGTTTTTATGTCTGAAATATCCTTATTTTTACAATGCAAACATCCTAATCATGGTTATTTATTTAAAGTTGGGAATTTGCCCTGCTTCTTAAAAGTGCGAGCAAGCCACATATACTGTAAATGTCAATGTGCTCATTCTGAAATCTGAATACAGATTTATGCTTTGAAAGGTATGAGCACGTAATTATGTGTTAACTAGATACTTTTCTTTAGCACTGTAAGGAACTTGCTGATGGCTGAGTTGTAGGATCCATTTACAGTTTTTTTTAAAAAGCTAATTCCAAATGACAAATCCAAAAGGGAAACATGAAACAAAAGGGCGCAAAAAAAAAAGTAAGCAATCTGACAGGCAAACAAGGCAAGGCAATAATACAACAAATCGTGATCCAAAAAAACAGGTGAGAAGTCATACACGTGAAGCAAAACAAGGTACATTGAGAACACGCTTGGTAAGGCAGACTATAATGGCAATACTTTGCAAATGTGCTCTAAGCAGTGGTGGAAAGAGTACTGAAAAATATATTCAAGTAAAAGTACCATTACCTTCCAAAAAATGTAGTGCGAGTAGAGTAAAAGTACTTGTCCAAAAAAAACTACTAGTAAGAGTAAAAGAGTAGCCTATTTAAAAGTACTCATGAGTATTGAGTAGTGAGTATTGAGCTGTGGATTCTACCCCCTCATAATAAACGCTGTACACCGCAATCGATACCTTTTAAAAACGTTGTACATTCTGTAATTCACATTATCTTGTTTGTCATAAAGAATGAAGAATATATATTATCCAGCAGTTTTAATTTTGACTGCCAACTCCTTAAAGGGGTCATATGATGCGATTTCATTTTTTCAAACTGAAATTTACCTTAACATATTAAGTTAGAGGAAGATGCGACTGAATTGATGCTTGAAGAATTCGCTTCCAGCAGCTATGATAAACAGTTGGCGGTTAATGTTTTCTATGCACAATTTGATTTGACGAAAGTCACGAGACCTATTACTCTCTCTCCAATCACGTTGATGGATAAAAATGAAATTAAAATAAGCATGTAATGACCACAAACGGAGGAAAATAGCGGAGTAAAAGTACCGATACATCACTTAAAATGTACTCAAGTAAAAGTACACAATTTTTAAACTACTCAAAAAAGTACAATTACTGATAAAAACTACATAATTACTGTAACGTGAGTATTTGTAATTCGTTATTTCACACCCCTGGCTCTGAGTACTGCATGGCTATAAAGCTAACAAACAGGAAGATGCAACGGAAGTTGTGAGAAGGGTCAATATTCAGGGGATGGCTTCCTCAGTTATCCCCTGAATATTGACCCTTGATAAGTAGCAGACTGAGACAGCATAGAATCCCCCACCCGTGAGCACCTCCTGGTGTTCCTTTCCTGGGCCATTTCCTTGGTCAGAGTGCTGGACGTGTAGAATAATCTCTGTGGTAGTTGTGGATCAATAGCTATGGATCCATCCAAAGTTGTGAATTTAAGTTGTGCGCAAAATTGGAATATCAAATAAAACATTTGGAAATAAAGCACAGTTTCCATTCAGTGAGACAAAGAGCACAAAATCGTCACTTCCTGATAAGCTGGCGACAAATAACACTAAGAAAAATGTAATTTGCTGCAGTAGAAGATGCCACTGTGGGTCTTTTTCCAAATATAATTACTTGTTCCTTAAAGTGAGCAGACAAAATTAAACATGGATGCCTGCTGTTTGGGAATGCAGTTGTGTAAGACAGTTCTAGGAGGTAATTATACCGAACCACTTTGACGACAGACTTCGGCTCAGGCAATGACCAAAACATTTCAGATCCTGTGAAACGAGAATGGTCAGCTGGTTAGTCCAGTCATGCAGATCCACTGCGCAAAGTCACATACTTACTGGTGGGTAGTGTAGCATCATACCTTCTTGAAAGGGAACTGGCTTTGCAGTTTATGCTGCATGGACAGTCGGTGACAGTGAAACAAAAGTGTGTTAAGAACAATGAGCTGGTCTGGGATTCAGTCTTTTGGTAAATTTGATATACTCAAGGTTCTTATCATCTATGATAAGAACACAGACTTGGAATAGATGTGTGGCTCCCTCTAGCCAGTGTCTCTACTCCTCTATTTGTTGCTTTGATAGATAACAGTTCTTTATTTCCAACATCGTTTCACACTGCAAAAAACACAAAAAAAACAATGAAACATTTTGCCTGGTGTGCTGTGTCTTTGAGAGATAACTGTCCCAATGCCAAAGTCAGAAGCACCGACTTCAATTATGAAAGGCAAGTTGGGATCAGGGTGTTTGAGGATGGGGCATTTGTAAAGCTGGTTTTAAGGGCGCCTAATGCAGATTGAGCAGTTTATCTAAAAATCTAAATCTTACCAGTTCAGATGGTGTTGATTTAAAGGGAGACTGAATGTGTTGCGTCAGATGCTCGTTCACGGCTTGTAGATTGGTGAGTTGTTGTTGGTATCCTTGAAAGATCTCACTCTGATATTCAAAATGTATCTACCTCCATTGGATCCAGAGAGGGAAAAGTATTCTGTAAAGAACTTACTGATGGCTGAGTTGTAGGATCGATTTGCGGTTTATTACAAGGGTAATTCCAAATGACAAATCCAAGAGGGCAACACGAAACATAGGCAAAGTCCAGGCAAAAATCCTGCACAAGTAAACGATCCAACAGGCAAACAAGGCAAGGCAATAATCAGTCCCTCCAGGATTTTGCAATTCTGTAATTGCAGAATTTATCGCAAAATCAAACTCTGCAATATTCGGAAAAGCAGATTTTATACAGCACTGTCTTTGAGAACAAAACTCTGCTCAGTCACTTTTCATCTGTGAAACAGAAAAACAGCAGATGTGCCTCAAATTCCATAACTGAAGCAACTGCATCAAGGTCTGTTGTGACTGTTGAAAGAATTGAAGTGAGTACAAGTTCCTAGATCACAGAATACTTGATAAACTAGTCAAATGCAGACTGTATGAGAAAGCGGTGTAGACACAGTGTATACATGACCATTGGTGCAAGATAACTCGCTCAGTGCCGCTTAAATGCTAGAACTGATCTGTTTTGGCTGTGCCTGAAATGAGTGTGTACAATCTGTGATGTTTTTCAATACATAACCAATATAATCATCATGTCTACAGATGATTATATATGATGAGAAAACCACTAAAGAGAAGTGAAGTGAATAACATTGATTATATTGTTAAAATCGCACCTGTCAATAGGTGGGATATAGTAGGCAGCAAGTGAACAGTCACTTCTTGAATTTCATCTGTTGGAAGCAGAATGTGTGGGCAAGCAAAAAGATCTGAGTGACTTTGACAAGGGCCAAATAGCGACGTCTAGACGTCTGGGTTAGAGCATCTCCAAAATGGCTTGTGGGGTGTTCCCAGTATGTAGTGGTTTGTACATACCAAAAGCGGTGCAAGGAAGGACAACTGGTGAACCAGCATCAGGTTCATGGGTGCCCAAGGCTCACTGATGCAAGTGGGGATCTAAGACAAGCCCAGCTGGTCAGATCACACAGAAGCACTACTGTAGCTAAAATTACTGAAAAACTTAATGCTGCATAAAAGATGATGTCAGAACACACAGTGCATCGCAGTGTGCATAGCTGCAAATCAGTCATAGTGCCCATGATGACCCCTGTCCACCATTGAAAGCACCAACAATAGCCATGTGAGCGTCAGAACTGGACAATGCAGCAATGGAAGAAGGTTGTGTCTGACTAACACGCTCTTTAAATAACAAAAAAAATATTGCGTCATTGACTTTAGACCAGGTTTCAGCTGCTCAATTGCACAGTCTATTTCAGTTGCCTCAAAATAGCAACGTGCCAACAATGCACCTGAACACAGCTCGTTTTCAGACCAGCACGCCCATGGGCACACAAATGGGCGCAAATGCATTTGCTATTTAAACAACGTGGCACAGGACGTGAAAATGATAACCGCTTCGGGCTGAAACTAGCAAAAAACACTTGCATCGCACCTGGCGCTGCATTGCACCAGGTGTATGATAGAGCCCATGGATTTATATGCTAAATTTCAATATAGTCATATACTTAATAAAAACACTAATAAAACAGCATGCATATCAACATCTCACGCACATACTGATATGTCATTATACAGGTGCATCTCAATAAATTAGAATGTCGTGGAAAAGTTCATTTATTTCAGTATTTCAAATTGTGAAACGACATTCTAATTTATTGAGATGCACCTGTATATCAATTCTGTATATTTGTTTTAACCTGTTAGCGTTCCACTGTACCGCTTGCGGTACACTGTGTGTTTTGGAGGGTTAACGTTGTGACACAAAAAAAAAACTAAACATGTCACATATCTTTGGAAAGCTGAGATTCTTGTGATTCAAATGATGCAAACCATTTTAAGATACAATAAACTCGGCAGGTACATTCAGTGTCTATGCTGTGATCCCACTGGGTTTTCCAGCTAATAGCTACCAGCTAGAGTCATGTGTTCACAAAAAATTTTTAGCCGGATTTTTTTTCTTCCCTTTTTCAGTGTGTTCAAGATTTTATTACTCAATACCAGTAAGACTTACAGTGATTCTGAGGTTTGTGCTGATTAGGAACAAACCTCAGAGTGTCACCTTTCAAAAGAGACCAAAACCTTGCATATACTCCAAATGGTTCAAGAACAGCATGCAATTTACTTTGGGGGATGCCTTTTTTAGGCGGTTTAGGCAAATTTTACAGGAATGCTAAGAGTTAAATCTAAGAAGTAGAACATTAGAGGTTAATTATTAAAACTAAAATGACTAAAGCTAAAATAAAAATAAATAGTATTGTTTTTAAAAATAAAACTGTAATAACACTAGTAGTATAACCAAAATTATAAGCAAAATAAAAACATTATAACCACTGCAAACACGCTGGGACTCTTGTCCAGTTTCTTTGTCTCCCTCGCTGATGCGCTGGGTCTCTCATGAAACAAAAAACAACACTGCATAGTATGTTGTATATAATACTGTATATGGCACTGCTTGTCATCCTCAGCAATTGCAAATATAAATGTAACAAATGATATTATCTGATGAATAGCTAACTCCTGCTCCACTCACATTCGTTTATATAGTTGGCAGGGACACTTACCTCAACAGTTCATATTTAGATACTATAAGATTGTTGACATTCATAACATAACTGCTAAAAATTCTAAAACCATATAAAACCAAGTGAACACTTGGATCGAACACTCCAATAGATTAAACACTTTTATGTTAAACTTTTAAATACATTATAATATTTAGAACTTAATAATAATTTTAAAAAAAATTGGACACAACAAGACATTTATACTGAAACAGGTACTTTGCCTGTGCATGTTCAGCAAGTTTAAAACACTCATCAGCCGACACTCTCTGTATGAAAGAGTAGCAATTTCCACCTTTGTATTTCCACCTTCATGATAAAGTTTACTGAACTGTCCAACCCCCAACCCACTCCCCACTGGGCTTATACAAATGTAAATATGTGTTAGAAAACTAGGCTAGGCCTATATCACTCATAATTTTCCCATTCAGTGTATTCCACCTTTTATTTATTTTATGGCACACCTTTTTAAATGTATAATGATAATCTAAAAATCTAAAATACTGCCTAGTACTGTACAGTACAAATCAAGCACACTTCAAATAGTTCACTGTTACAGTAATCAAATAGTTGTAACCTTAAAAATGTATATGTTGAATAATTAGTCAAGATTAAATGTAATGCTATATTATTATCATTGTGAATATTAACAGTAATCTATTTATTTTATTGAATCTATCGATTTCATTTACAAGTGAAAATGTCACAATTTCAGCTTTACTGAGCAGTGATGCACACCTGATGGTGATTTTGTGAGACATTAAAAGGCACACTATGTTCTACCTAAGAACTATTCTTGGTCCAGCGATATAACAAGATGCAGCAATTCCTGAGTCCCCATCTCATGAAGACAAAAGCAGAATGATCAAGATCTAAGTCTCTGGCCCAGAAAGACAGAAGATATACAGACACATCTGTAACAAGGTTAAACTCCAGAGAGCAAACCTTCTCTGCAAGGCACCATCAACTGTGTGTACCAGATTGTTAGGTGCTGTCTGCGCCTACTTCAGGGCCTCATATGCATGTTCCAGGTTTAAGAACCTTTTTCATGCTCCAGGAGATCAGCATCCCACAGAGTTCCAAGCATATTACCAGTTCAAGATCTTCTAATTTGCCTTAAATATTATATAACTAAGTCAATTATATACAACAAATAAGCTTTGATTTACAACACATTATTTTAAGGTGGACTTTGTTTTGTGCCAATCTTTGATTTGCCATAATACCCAACTTAATCACCTGCATTTTATGTACCTTATACACTTTACTCCTTTATCAATCATGATATTTAGTAGTTGTGTTGATTACTCTTGTTTATCTTTTTGCTAATAAAATATTTTACTACAATTGTACCTTCCTTGTGATGATAATACTGTAAGAAGATCTACTAGTTTAGAATCTCTCACAAATCCTTCTGATTGGTCATATGACAAACTAGCACCAATTTACATAATTGTTATTTATTCACCTTCCTTGATTGTAATTAAATGTTAAGGTGAGAGTCCTTTATGCCCCATTTTATAAAAGGAGAAAGGAATCATCCAACACTCTCACATTCACTTTAAGTGACATGACTGTAACTCACAATATTAATCGGTGGCACCTGTGAGACCCACTGCATTCTGGTCCATTGTGGGGAAAATATTACATTAGTGGTACCCATGTGAGGGCAAATTATTACATATGAAATCTATAATTTCTTAATTTTCTTTATAAAAAATTTATTTTTCTTTTATTCTGTCTTTTTTTTTGGCCAGGTTTCAAATATGACCTGGACATGTTTTCATGACATTCACCCAGGCAGAAAAATCATGCAGCCATCTAAGATACTATGTTTTGGCTGAGTTCCGGCAGCAATGCATGTACAGTATATTTTATCGATAAGGCAATCCCAGAATACAATACAATAATGAATATTGGTGACTCCTGACATAAAGCTATCATATGGCTTCTATTGTATGAAATATACTATAGGGAATAAGGAGTATAAACTCTTGATACTTTTTTGTTCTTTTCGGAGTTTACAGCTACTGATCAATGTTTGTTTTCATTATATGGAAAAAGAGCTTAGACAAACATCTCCTTTAGTGTTCTATACAAGAAAGAAAAACATACAGGCTTCAAACAAGGCTGACTCTTTTTGCTATACCTGCCAGTTTGCCATTGGCAATCATGTTTGTGGCCACCAGTTTAATGGTGCTCTGAGACGGGCCGGATGAGGTGATGGTTGTAACCAGACAGGCTTTGAGAGAGTCACAGTAGTAGCTGGAGTTATCTGCGCTGGTCTCCAAAAGCAACTGCACTGCACGGTCCGTCTGATGAAGAAAGAAAAGATAGGTTTGTTCTGATCATTATTAGCCAACTGAAATATTTTAAATGTAAAGAACATTTAAATGAAAATTATAGAACAGTGGTGTCATATTCCACTTTCCCACTTTTTATAAAAAATAAAAAGACAGTAAAGCACAGCTTCCAGAGGATTTAATGAATACTGTTATGTTCACCTGGGATGTGGTATGGGCTAGTCCCCCCCCCCCCCACCCAAGAAACTTCC